TTGAGGAGGAACAATCTCTAGAGAAATTCTCAAATTTTCTTTTAAATGTCAAAGATGGTAATTTAGGGATGCCACATGATGGTACAGCTAAAATTAAAATTCCATCTGAGTTACTAATAAAAATTATGAAGAACCACTTAATGCTATTATGTCATCTACTTATCTAGATTTTCTTGATAATTTATCAAACACTGATAAATCCTGATTTTATATTAATTTTTCATATCTTATTTTATATTTTTATCAATTAAATTGGGCTTAATTGCATTTATTATGATTAAATTGGATTAATTGTGATTTGATGAAAATAGTGCTAAAAGGGGCAAAAATATCATATTTTTATGATTTAGTTTAACTGATTGATCTTCTTGAAAAAAATATCATATCACATTATCTTAGATTTTGTTATAGAAAATTTGGGAGATATTGCAAGGTTTGAATCTAGGGTTGCATCATCATGGCCTTCTGGAGGGAGAAAAGGACGGAACAGTAGCAGCAAGGCTTGAGAATATACACCTTCGTGTGTGATGAAAATAGTGCTAAAAAGGGGCAAAAATATCATATTTTTATGATTTAGTTTAACTGATTGATCTTCTTGAAAAAAAAAATCATATCACATTATCTTAGATTTTGTTATAGAAAATTTGGGAGATATTGCAAGGTTTGAATATAGGGTTGCATAATCATGGCCTTCTGGAGGGAGAAAAGGACGGAACAGTAGTGGCAAGGCTTGAGAATATACACCTTCGTGTGTATATATATAGACATGACTGTAGGGAGAGGAGAACACGCCACACCCATCCACGCCACACCCCCCACGATTATCATCATCATGCATTCCATTCCCTATTCCACGACGCACACACCACCTCCAATCTTCCTTCACGCGCACGTTCCACGATCATCATCATCTTCGCAGTAGCGGCAAAGCTGAGAGAAGGGCAATATACAACGCCACCTCACCATCCTTCATCATCATTCTCGACTTTCTTCATCAACTCTGAAACAGGGGAGGCAGCAAGTTGCGACCTTCACTGTTTGAGTAACTGCCAGTGAGTCTGAAGCATCATCGTCATCTTCCTTTTTCCTCCATCAACACCAGCAAACAACCTCTCTCTCTTTGTATCAGCTCCTTCGTCACTGCCATCGGCCAGACCCACAGCGCCTATTTATTCTTCTTCCATGGCCGAATTACACATTGAGCTGATGTTGGTAGAATCTCAAATCATGTCCAGCTAATTTCATTGAGCTTCTTGGAGATGGAGTATTGGGTTTGAGCTTCAAAGTTAATTAGGAGAGTTCTTCTATTTTGATTCTTTTAATTTAATTGAGTAATGGATTTTCTGTGTTAGAATTGATATTATTTAATTAAATTTTCTGAGATTACTAGTTGTAATTCTTACTTTAGAATTGAGTTTTTGTGATTAAGATTGGATTTTACAATTTGAAATTTACATTTATATCCAGTTTTGAGTTCTATATGATTATGCTATTCTTTCATAGTTTGGATGAATGTTATAATTATATGGTACTTATTGAATATCTCAAGTTGAGTGTTCTTTGCATAGAGACCCGAATTGCATTAATCTAATCCTAATTGCACACTAATCGGTTTTCAATGGTAATTTTAATTGGTAGTTGTAGCTAAAGTTCTAGGACATCTATTAATTAAGACTACTTGACTTAATCAGTGATTAAGGTTTTGATTTTGAATTAGTGAACAAAATAACTCCCAAATCATTTTAAGCAAGGATAACCCAATCCCCATTTTTCAAGAAGCATTATCTCATATCTCCTTAAATCCAAATTTTATTATTTGCTACCTTTTTAATTAATTTTCTTTCAATTTCAATTTCAAATTACCTTTCATTTTTTTTATTTAAAAAAAAACCCGAAAAAAATTTTGAATTGTTTTTTTAATTTATTTTGCAAAGTAGTTCTTAATAAACAAAAAACAAAAAAAAAACTTTTTAATAGCAATTTTGATTTTTAGTTAATTTAGGACCTAGTTAATTTTTTGCTCCAATAAGAGAACGACTTTGGTTTGCATCACTTGCTGCATTCTAAATTTAATTTATTTAACCGAAGGCAACATTGAGGATCAAACACTAAGTACTTCAATCATAGATTCCAACAATTGAGGTTGTCAACCGAGTGAATGATTATGTGTGTTCTTTATTACCTAGTGAATCAATCGAATATTTGAGTTGTGACTCGGTATGCAAATCATTCAACGATACTGACTGTTTTGAAGACTTTTACACCGCTGAATTTCTAAATATAATTAACAGCTCTGGTATGCCAATGCACAAATTGGAATTGAAGGTTGGAGCTCCTATTATGCTTCCAAGGAATATTGATCAAGCATCAAGGCTCTGCAATGGAACAAGATTACGTGTCACTCATCTAGGAAAATTTGTAATTGAAGCGATAACTTTGAATGCCTCTAAACCATATCAGAAAGTGCTTATTCATCATATGGATATGAATCCTTCTAATAGTCATTTTCCTTTTCAAGAGAAGACCATTGCCAATAATATTGCCATTCACTATGACTATAAATAAAAGTAAATGTCAATCTTTACATTATGTGGGATTATATCTACTGAAACCATTTTTTTTCTCATTGCCAGTTATATGTTGCTTTATTTAGGATGACACACATCAAGGGGTTGAAGATTCTTCTAGAATATGATGGGTGTTGTGATAGCAATGTTATGATCAATGTTGTCTATAGAGAAATTTTTAGGAATGTAGATCCTATTGTGTAGCTTGTATAATGGTCTGTGTTCTATTTGATGTGTTTTTGTTTGATATATTTTTCACACCATTTGTCAGCGCAGTTATGATGACTTGGAATTCTGGTTGTTATTTACTGTTTGCTATGTTTAGGTGGGAACATTCCTTTGTCATTTGGATTGTCACCAATTCGCAGGGGGAAGAAATGCTAGTTATATCTAAAAAATACATTTCTTGATCCCACACCTTGAAATTGTTTAAAATAAGTTTACAACTTGAGTCTTGAAATTTGAAATACTATTGTATCCCTTGACAAACTAGAAATTTCTCTCCACATCCAATACATGACACATGTCTAAGTTTGAAAATGATTTAAATGTAGTTGACAACATGTCTAAGTTTGAAAAGGATTCAAATGTAGTTGACACTACTTCACATATTTAAAGTGTATTACAAGATATTTGATTCTATCAAAAATATTTTATTATATTATATTCTTCAACCTTTATTCCCAAAAAAAAAAAATCCTTTCTACAAATTTTATTTCTCATTTCTCTCCGCCCAAAAAATTCATTTGTTGTCATGCATTATTTTGTGGAATATGATTTTTCTTAACTATATAAGAATTCTTTAGACTTTGCATCCAAACAATTTGTGGTGGCTTTGGCTTTCAAGAATATTATGTTAAACGGGTGTTGTTAATTTAAACGGTTATGTATTTTTACACACCTAGTATCCTAACCAACCCTTTAGAAATTCAATTACGAATCAGACTAATTATGATTGAGCCATGATAGGACCTATATAGGTAGCGATCCTACCCAAAAGATCGAACTCGTGACTTTTGGTTAAGCTAAAACAACTCCTAATATTTGATCTAAGTGCTTGGTGGTTCAAGATGACTAATGCTACATGATAAAATGAACTTCATCAGTTTATTACAAGATTTATAAATGTATAATAGATAGATAAATATTCATACTTCAAATTTGAATAACATCCATAATCTATTAAAGAAAAAGCAACATGAAGGGAAGATAATTGTTTTTTAAAACTAAAATGATAGCTAAAATGTAATATAATATTATACTATATATTATTATAACGCACAAAATCACATATTTTTAGGCAAGGCAAAATTGAGAGGACAGCATACCTTGGTTGCTTCTGGCTTGAAAATACCGATTTATTGGGTTGGCTTGGGCATTTTTTTCTTGGGCTTAGGTGGGTGTACTAGGCCCATCAAGCCTAACAAATATCACCAGTTTTTAATTGAAAATCACAATTGATATGTAGATTTTGTGACATTCATTGTGGCTAAAGAAGAAGGGTGGTCTTATTTTCAAAATTCATAATGAATTTCATACATCTCCAAAAATTATAAAGTAGAACTCTTTAGAAAGCTAGGGAAGTCTATTGTCCAATGCAAAAATGAATCACTTAAAAATATTTCCATTTGGTCTAAGAAAATGATAATTTACCAAAACTACTCAAAAAGTTTATATGTAGCAAGATGAGCAAACTTAAAAAAATTTAGAATTAATTCAATACATTCCCAAATTTGTAGATTAGGATTTGTTGAAATCCAATGCTTTAAAGATAATAAAATTAGAGAAGTATTTATTTTGCTGGAAAATTAATAAATTTATTCAAGATAACATAAAAGCTTTTTTTCCTCATTATAATTACTCAAAAAAACAGTTTATTGGTTCACAAGTTTTAAATGTTGAGTATTAGACTCGCATAATATCAAAAGTTCAACCAAGTTAAAAAGATCTTGTTATTTATTTGTATTCATATCTTTCATTCTTGAGTAAAATTCGAAAAGGAATTTCCTTATGTTTCTTGTAAACCATCGAATTTGAGTTGTAATTCTTTGCATCATATGATTGAACAAACTGGATGGTTTGCTAGTCATAACTCTTTTGATGTGCCAAAGAATCATGAGTTTAAAAGTCAAAACCTCCCTTGCTCATCTTATTTTAAAAAAAGACACCCGTAATTTTTAATTTTATTTTGGTCTAAAGGTGCAGTGATGTCTCTAGTGTTTTACAAGGACTATTGGTTTTACAAGGACTAATCGAAATTACATTTATTTTGTGGGCTAACTGAAATTATCCCCTTTTTCTTTGTTGATTTCTTGTTCAATTTTCACTGTTAGTCCTTATTGTTTTCGAATTTTGACATTCGCCCCCTAGTATGGGACTGACCGCGTGATGACGAAAGAGGGCGCATGCTCGAGAGGATCCAAATCAGGCTGCTAGCATCGCCCTGCAATTCGATCTGCAGGAAGAAGTGCATGAATAAATGTTAGATTTGGAGCTCTGATTTTCTAGCTGTTGCTGCCACTGTGGTGGGTGCTTACTTTCTGTGTCATTCTCTCATCTTCCAAATTCCCCTCTTCGCCTTTGAACTTGGCATCCTTTCCCTTTTCACCGAGAGCTTGATGCAATATATGAGATCTAGATATTGAATCTTCGTTGTTGGTGCTTCGATTGAACGTGGTATCAGGGGCGTCGAGGTGGGTTTTCATCTACTATCAGCAATGGACAAGTCAAGTGCTTTGGAGTATATCAATCAGATGTTTCCCAATGGTAACCATGTCCTACTTGCAAATCTAGTTCCAATCCGCATGGGCTGCCGTTTCGATTGCATTTCATACTTGCAAACTCTGTAACTCCCCCCTCCCCTCCGTTTGTTGTCTTTTGTGCGCTTTTGTGCCAGCAAGTTCATGAACTTACCAGGTAGTTCAGTTCTTCTTGCTAATGCTCAGTTCTATGCTCATCTATTTTCTATATTATCCAGAGGCATCTCTATCCGGTGTTGAGCCACTTATGCAAAAGATACAGAATGAGATTCGCACTGTTGATGCTGGAATTTTAGCAGCTGTTCGCCAACAGGTCTTGATCCATGCCTCTGACCTTAACTGCTTCCTAGTCTTAAGTTAATGGCTTGTAGTGACTTCGTTCTGTGTTATTCTCACATAACCCCAGCCATCTGAAAAACTTAACAATATTTCAGGAGCTAAATCATATTGACATTTTGCTAAAAAAATCAGATTGATGTTGTCATTTACTGAAAACTTGCTCGGAGCTATTCAATTCTAATGGGACATTTGAGTGAAGCTAACATGAAGGTTAATACTTTGGATATAAATTTGGTCACTTCTTTTAAAGGGGGGACTCTGGGGGTGGGGAATGTAGGAGTTATCCTTGATTGCATTCCTGAATTGTGAATCGCCTGGGCTAAATATGGTTCAGTGTCGTGAGGTATTAATCGTTAAAACTGTAATCATATACACCTTTTTGGCTTCTATTGTTTGATGACTCAGCTTCTGTAATTTCAGAGCAATTCAAGGACTAAAGGACAAAGAAGAGATCTTGCTGCTGCTACAACTGCCGTGGAGGTTGACTCTCTTCCTCCACCCTCACCCTCTCCATATTTTTCTAATTACCCCTCTCCTCCCTCTTTCTCTTCTCACGCGCACGCACACACAACACACTCTTTCTCTTTATTTTTGAAATGCATGCTTGTGAAAAGCAGTTTCCTGGTTCAATGTGATGAGTTTCTATTTTTCAACTGTCAAGTATTTTGATATATTTTTTTTCCTTGCATTGTCCGTGATGCTTTCTTTTGTCTCTCTTCCTCCTTCAAGCTTCTCTGTGAACTTGAATGTCATTTTTATATGTTTAACTGTTTTGATTTTATGATGCAGGAACTAATGTATAAGATCCGAGAAATAAAAACTAAAGCTGTACAAAGTGAAACCATGGTTCAAGAAATATGCCGTGACATTAAGAAACTGGATTTTGCCAAGAAGCACATAACCACAACAATCACTGCTCTTCACCGTCTTACCATGCTTGGTAAATCTTGATTGTCCTTCTGTATATCATAAGTGACCTATTATGCCCCCTTCCCTCGGAAAAAAAGCTTGCTGACTACTTTTGCAGCATCAGGAGTTGAACTTGGTAACTTAAGATCTGTTAATTAGATTGGTATATGGTTGGTATTCTTAGTAATTTTTGGGTTAGTTGATATTTATTGGGTTTGAAGTGCTAAGTTTGCATTTAATCTGTGCAACTGGAAGACAGATAGAGGTGAATATCTCTTGTTTGTGATGTTTATGCATAATCTTGTCCCTTGATGACCATAGTAATAAAGTTAAAAATGCATACGTAGGCCGGAAGTTACAATCATGTTCACTGTCGAGGTATCTTTAAAGACAAGAGAGAGCATTGCTATGTTTGAATAATTGATCCTTATTTGAATTTTATCATGTCTATCTAATAATTGTTGCATCTGTGAATATATTTAATTTCAGAGAATTCTGTAATTCCGTTAACTCTCTTCTCATGGTGGGGGAATGACTGTAACCAATGACATGATTTGTGAAGGCACAAAAATTTAATCCAGGCATCTTGTATTCTCCCCTTTTATCCTTTTTTTTTTGTGTTTTTTTTTTTGGGTTGTTTTGACTCTAAAAGCTATAATCTTTGCGATAATTTGATCTGTGCTACATCTAGAACAAAATTCCTGTCAGTGATTTGCTAGTGAAGTTGGATGTGATGAAGATGAATTTTTCTCAGCAGTGGCTGGCCAAACAATTAACTGATCATGTCAGTTTTAAGGGATTTATAAATTTTTTCAGATGTTGGTTGTGCAATGCATAAGATGCAAGTTTCCATGGTTTGGAACTTGCATTAGACACTGTAGAATGCCGAGTTTTATTTTGTATAAATGGAAATGATATGATTGAATGGTTGGGAAGAGTCGCAGAATCAAAGGATAGCTTTTCTTGCATTTCCTCTATGAGGGCCTCTGCTTTGGTTTTTTGAAGTGAGTCTCCGTTTATATACCCAGAGGATTGCATATCTCTTTGAGTTAATAGATTGAAATATTAGTTTTTTTCTTTCTTTTGTTTTCAGAAGGATTCTTGATTCTCAAATCTTTGAAGTTATTCTCTCAGTAATCTCTTAGTCTCTCTCTTTCTCTCTCTCGCGTGCAAGGGCGCACACCCTCACACACTCTCTTTACCATATGAATAAGTTTGCTATTTGTTTGTTAATTTAATCTGTTTTCAGAGGTCCCATTTTTATACGCATTAGGCAAGTTCTAATGTAAAAATGCTTAGGTGCTTATGAGAGAATTTTACCATAGAATTTATAGTACAAGTCCTCATACTTTATTGTAACTAGACCTGACAATCCATGTATTGTTAAGATAAACTAAAATAATGAACCGTTACTGCAATTTTCTGGTCTCAATATTAAAACCAATTGGTTGCTTTAATTTTTAAACTTACAATTGAAACTTTGTACTCTCTGTTTGAAACATTTGAGGCTTTCGTGGTAGATTTTAAGACTCATAACCATTATTCAATCTTTAATGCAACACTACCTATCATGTGGCAGTCTCTGCTGTTGAACAGCTTCAGGTCATGGCTTCAAAACGTCAATATAAAGAGGCAGCTGCACAGCTGGAGGTAGTGAATCTTATTGCTGATCATGCTTCTCGGAGACTTGCTATTTAAATATCTATGTATTGCATTGGTTCTTCTTTTATCACGTGGTTGACATCTTTGGTGTATAGATTTTAATTCCTTTGAAATTCATAAAATCTATTGCAGTTTTGGATTTATCTGATCCACTTATTTTCTTTTATTTGGATGTAGATACTAATCAGGGCACTCTAGAGAGGTTTTAGATGGTGCACGTTGATTGAATTAGATGGCATATCCTATTTGTTAAGGAGGAATTCTTGTTACTCCAAGAGATCCATTTTCTGGATTCTCCCTGATATTATTGACTTCTGAGTTCACGGGCTTATTTATTACTCCCTCCGTTCCTTATTATAAGAGACATTTGATGCTTATAGTATGTTCCTAAATATAAGAGACACTTAAAAGTGTCTCTACTTTTTTGTGTTGATTTCCTATTTTACCCATATTTATTGTCTCCAACTACACTCTCTCTCCTCTCCACTTCTCTTTCTTTTAAGAATTTACTATTATTCTCTCTCATACTCTCTCTCCTTATTAATGAGGGTATTTTTGGAAAAAAATTATACTTTTTACATATTAATTGTTCTTAACTATTTTAACTGTTTTTTTGATCAACGTAATTCGGTTATTTGTCTCTTATAATAAGGAACGGAGGGAGTATTAATATATAATATGCATGCATATGTGAAAACCAAAATCATTCAGTTAGCTTTAACTAGACTGTTTTTATGATCTCTATGGCATAATCAACCAAATGGAATGCATCTTAAGCAGCACCAAGCCAGACTCCCTCGGTCCCTCCCCCTAAAAAGTTAGTAAATGCATGAGGTTTCAGTAGGTTTCTTCTCTTGGTTCATTTCATGTGAACATTTCTGTGAGTATTCTTGTGAAGCGTAACAAACTGTTGAATTATGTAACTCTGGTGGGACCCTTTCATACTTTTGACCGTGCTATTTTCTGGATGCATTATATTTTCTTGCGTCATGTGCTTGAAGTTGTGTGGCCTACTTCTGTTTGTTTAGTTTTTTAATAAATTATTTTCTATGTTAGATTTCTGCTTCTCATATCACTTATTCCTGATAAAATCATGTGTAACTGCACATTTGTTTTTTAACATATTGTCCAATTATTGATTATTGATGTTATCATCTTACTTATCAGGCTGTGAACCAATTATGTAGTCACTTTGAAGCCTATAGAGATATTCATAAGATCATTGAACTCAGGGAGAAATTTAAGAGCATAAAGCAAATTCTCAAGTCACATGTATTTTCTGATTTCTCAAGGTATGTTACTAATTTCTAACTCTTCGGCCTTTGGGTAATAGAATATGAGCTGGATACACATTTTCCATTTTGATTGCTCAATTGCATATTTGGTCATATTGGTAGTTATAACTCATTATGTATTTCACTATTTTACTTCATTGAATGCGGATATGTTTGTATTCTATGAAAAGGCTTTTGTTTAACGGGGGTTTTCAACTTCCTGTTCTCATTCTCAGCTTAGGTACTGGAAAGGAGACAGAAGAAACTAATTTGCTCCAGCAGTTGTCTGATGCCTGCTTAGTGGTTGATGCGCTAGAGCCCTCTGTTAGGGAAGAATTGGTAAATAATTTCTGCAGCCGGGAGCTTACATCGTATGAACAAATTTTTGAAGGAGCTGGTGCGTGAAATTATTGCCAACATGATTTTATGTTGATGTATATTTATTGTTACTAATCTTCAATTTATTACATCTTCATAGAATTAGCAAAGTTAGATAAAACGGAGCGAAGATATGCATGGATTAAACGACGAATGAGATCAAATGAAGACATCTGGAAAATTTTTCCTTCTTCATGGCATGTTTCTTATCGGCTTTGTATCTTGTTCTGCAAGAAGACCAGGTATGATATCTTTGTTTAGCAGCAATTTAATATAATCTATCAATGATGCTTTATCCATTAAGAGAAGCCGTGGCTATGGTGGAAATGCTGCTCCATTTAGTGTGTTCTGGTATGATGTAAGATTACAAAGTACATTTGATGCTGATCCATTAAATTAAACAAGGAATAATTATAATTTACTTCTTACAAATCAATATGTCCCCATCTCGTTGGAGCTGATATTTGTAAGGTGGATTTTATCAAGTATAAGATGTTATGATGTGTGCTTATCATGTGTGTGGATTATTTCTATCGGATGTGATGTTATCCAAAATAAAACAGGTTTTGGGTTTCATTGAATTTTTACCACTTTTTGTGTTACTTTTAATTTTTCAGCATCATTAGTTGGAAAATATTGTTGGGCTTACAGTATATCTCATTGCAGGAAACAACTTGAGGACATTCTTTCTAATCTGAAAGAAAAGCCAGATGTGGGGACCTTGTTGCTGTAAGCAGTGGAT